GTTAACTCACCTTGGAGCTGATGCGAGACAGAGACTCCCCAGTACATGGGTCATCCAACGCAAATGCCTGGGAGGTGAAATCTTTCCCATCCGATAGGAAAATTCTACCAAATTCTGTCGACTACATCGATCGAAACCCATCACCTTACTTTTGTTAGCACAGTTAGCAATTATTGTATAACCTAATAGTACGCAATTATGTCCTTCGATTACTGGTTAATAAAATGTATCTATGTAAATTTGGTGTGACGTTATATCTTCGATCATCAACGTCGTATTCTAAAGATGGCTGGACTAGCCGAAAGAAGTTTGTGGTTAACCACAAATTTCTACTTTAAATTTTCTCTCTAATCTCCAATTAGCCCGTTACGATCACATGACCTGCTGGGCGCATAAAGTGCTTGTTGACCCTAAGAAAGTGGCAGACTGCTGGAAGAGATTTTGGGGTTTTCAAAAACGATAGGGAGGTATTCGGCGTGGAACTCGCATTCTTTTGAATAAAAGACGTGTATTGACTGGAATTGCGGATACCCTGATGGTCTGCAAAGTGATCTCAGCTCGGTCGGCGAAGTGTGTGAAAAGTTGCCATCAATTGCTTGGAGCGGACACTTAATAACGACGCAGTGTAGTTTTCAAGTGGTCCGCAATATGTACAATATATCAACAATACCTGGAGTGCAATCGACATCGCCTAGCTGGGTGTTGGATTTCAAGGTCCGATTTATGGCGTCTCTATTTGGCGTGCAACGGAAACAATGCAATATAGTAAACGTCACCCGAGGTGCAATGAAAATAAGTAGCCTAGACTCGTTTAAAAGGAATTCATGCCTACACGCTCATTTAACTTCGTGTCAACTCAAAACCTATTGGGTCGTCTGCATTCATGTCTCTGCTAAATCCCAGTATGTTAATAGTCTAGGTGTGTATGTGGTAGATAAAGTTACGGCTATTATTGGGCTCTAGGGTTGCTGCTCTCGCCTGGCTTTCTGCGTTGGACTCTGGTAGCGGCATATCGTGAATTGTCCTGCGTGCGGACTGCTCGGGATTGGTTTGGAAGGCTGCCAGTTTGGGTGTATGTGGGTTTTTTTTTCTTTGAAAGAAAAGGGCAGCCACTTATAGGTAGGTATTTTGTGGTTAGTATCGTAGATTTTATCGATAGTTTATACTTTTTAGCGCGTTTACGTGAAAATGATGTCTTATTTTTCTTTCTTTCAATTTTTTAAAAATGATAGAGTTCGAGCGATATTTATTTCGCTTTCGTAGTCGCGTAAACTTTTGGAGCGAAAATGAGCGCACTTTGTTTGCTTTCTTGATTACTAGTAAAATGAGCAGATCTTGTCGTTCTTTCAGTGCAGAATCATATGGTAACTTGTTTGAAAAATGAGCGAATTACCAAGATACTATAGTGGCCAGGCAAAGTAGCGACTTTTGATGTCCCGATCGCAAATGAATTCACCAAATAGTCAGTGTTTTTTTCTAAAAAAAAACAAACAAACTGCACAATCGATAAAATGCAAGATATTTTGTTGAAACTAAAAGGCTAGGTTAAAAAATCTACATCAAATGAACGATTTTAGATTGACACGGAAACACATGGGTTTTATAACTCGAATGAAAGATCCATCGATAGCAAAAGTTCTGATTACAGGTATGAACTGTGCAGTCCTACTGCGTGGTAGAGTGTGTGGAAAAAAGTTATCCATTGATAAAATGCGAAAGAATAGTAGTATTACAAATATTGAACGCTATTTCTTATTTTAAACTTACAACAAATAGTTGAACTATCTAAGCAATATTTCCCAAGTTTCTCAACCTGTGCAATTCTCTCTCAAAGGTCCATTTGCTCAGTTTAGCACCTGATGTTAACGTGCTATTGTCTCTATGGGTATTTCCATAGAAACGCTCTCTTTCGTCCGTGTCCACGTTCTTTCCGGATCCGCTTTTATCATTTTTGAACAGCGTGACTGTGACTACGATTATTGAAACGGTGTAAATTAATGTGTGCTCGTTGCATATGGCTATACTAGTATGCTGATTATTTAGACAGTTATTTCTCTTTTTTTAAATCGTGCTACAGGAATTTGTCAAGTTTAAATCGTTTCTGATTCCAATAGAAATACATACCATGCCACGGAATGAAACAAAATAACCCATATAAGTGCTTTTTTTCGTTTTGTGATAATTTCCAGACAGTACCTTGTTTCTTTTCTCCACTTAATCTCTTCAAACCCGCGTGGTATTCGAACTCCACAAAATTCCAAAAATTGTTGCTCGTCTGAAAAAGTTAATTGTCGGCCACAATGCCGCTATTCATCCGCCATTTTTTTTAAATTAAAAACCTGACGTTATAATACTTTGTTGAACATAATTGTTTTGAGTAAAATATGCATATATTTTCTGGGACCTACAAAGTATAGGCAGCCAAACAAGCATCCCCCGCTTCCGCGTATTCACGAGCAACAAATGAATTAGCGTTCTTGCTACAAATAAGTGAGATCACGAAACCCACATTTCTCGAAGTACGTCACGGTGCCTTTTGATTAAAATAAATGTACGTACAGTTTTCGAACCAATAGCTACCCCCCCCCCCTTTTTATTTTTTTTGACGTTGTTCTAAAACTAGATTCATTATCATACTCGGCATTCAAACTCTTATGTCAAGATTTCCTATTCATAGTATGTCCTACTGAGGTTGAAAAACTATTTATTACTGTCGGAATACTAATTATTTCGGGTGATTTCCATCTCATGAATATTCACGCCGCCGTTCAATTCGGGTAATAAGTAGATACGTGAACAAAAACTAGAATAGTGTCTGAATCGCTAACGGTTATAACATTGAAGTAGTTATACAAGGGTTTTGTTTGGACAGTAAACTTTTTGGGGCATTCATAACACATCACTCAACATCCAATTACGTGGAGGCTTTGGTCGACCCATATATACATGATTGGTGTACATCGCCGCCTACTACATCTGATAAAACTACATACAAATCGAGTTCGATTTAGCAACCAATCAGAAATCGTGTTCTAGTAACGTGCACTCCAAGTGGTTGACAAATTCCGCCACAGAGAACACCTGAGCGCAATTTGCATAGCTATTTGTTCAAATGTGTTTTTTTTTTCAACGGCCGACCGAAATTAAAATCCACCAAAAACTCGGATTGTAATATCACTAAGTATACAACACCCTTAATTGGCCACAGGATCGTTTCGGGGTAAAATTCGGTATTTCCTTGGTCCAGTCGTAATTCGACTTCAGGTCTTCGTAGGAACGCGCCTGTCCCTCCCAACCAATATGCAAATCAGCTACTGACATCAACGTGTGTCAAATAGGTTTCGCTGCCTCTGATATTTCAACTTCAAGAATACAAAATAAAACATTCTCGCTATTATATGAGATGTTTGCAAATGTTTACACCAATGTATTGTTGTCGTTCGACCACCAAGAACGTTGGATCGGATTATCGCCAGTTTAGTCAGTCTAGTAAAGTAATGGCCGTGTTATGAGGGTATCATGTGACCAACCGTGTAACGGACAGCGCCATCTATTGATACCCAATTGGCCGTGAAGGCGGCCATTAACGTATGCATTTCCACACAAGGTAGACTATAGCTTTCACAGCTTCTTGGGAGTTTATCAATAAATGACTGTTTTTATGTTTTATTTATTTTATTTTTTTACTAAAAATGACTTCAAACTAACAAGCCTTGAATGTTACCGGACCACAGAAGGTTTAGAAAGTTAAAATTGATCGCGGACTAACACATCCACGGTGATTAGGCTACGGGGTCAAAGATGTTCATTCAACCATAGACAATATAATATGAAGACAATTCTATTTATTAGCAATGGTGGTCAATTTAAAGCGTATAAATAAATATATCAACATCGTAAAAATAGTACTTTTCCGAATAATAATTCTTAAAATGGTTTTTTTTCAGTATTTTGTTTGATATTAATAAATTTGATTTGGGGTTTTGTTGGATATCATTTATCGTGTACTGTACACAGCGCAGTGATATGATATGTTACATTATGTGATTCTCTTCAGATCATAAAAAGTGGAAATGCAACTTTAATACCCAGAATACACATAGGAGTTGTTGATTTACCTAAGCCAAATGCGCATGCGTTTAACATTAATGATACGTACTATTTAATCAAGTTGCATTGGTTTATTTTTTACAATAAATTATAATCCACCGTGTCAATTACTAATCATAACAGTATCCACCTATTGCGTTATCGAACAAAAAGTAGACGGCATACTGAACATTGACAAATTCTAAATTAATATACCTGTGGAACTTTAAAGCGCGGTGGTCGTCGTGCAGCGCGTGTTCAAATTCATGTAAATAAACAATGTATTTTACACGCGTTGTATACGTCGCTATGAGTCCCATATCGAACAGGACGCGGCGCGACGACCACCGCACTTTGAAGCATAGTGGTGATTACATTTTTGTCACGAATGCAAAATCGACATTACGACCACACATTTCTTACATGTTTCTTTACAATCCCTAGATTCAGTCACGTGATAAACCCCAGTGTCTCTATTCACAAATCGAGTATTTCCCAACAGTATATCATGTGACCTAGTCTGTGTTTCGTCGGATTAGCGTGCAACTTGAAACTACCAATTTCTTACCACAAAAAGAATGTTAATGCACGAAAACAAAACGTTTAGGAAATGTGTCTGGGGGGAGAACTGTGAGGTTGCGTCGGACCTCGCCGAGGTCGGCACGGTTTTGTGGCAACCATTGCACAATATATCCATCTGATTTTTATCCCCAGACACAATTGTCTGGAAAAGTCTCAAACGAGCCAATAAGGTCAAGAGGTCGCAGAAGTTAATATACTAAAGTAGACAGAAAGAAAAACTGGTGAAATTTGTCGTTTTAATATGTGTAAAACATTGAAGCAGCTTGTCAGTCTTGTGATCACCGCATTCCAATATATGGAACACGGTGACCTCATAGGACAGGAAACGTTCCCCAAAGATTGTATATTTTCACAGGAATACTCGCTCCCGGGTGTTAGTGTTGATATTATTACAATCTCACTCAGCCAAATAACTTAGCCCGGAGATTAACGGATATGTTTTGTTTTAATTAAAGCATTGCATTGTGGGTGCCGGAATTAATAAAGCCTGTTTTAATATAGTGAGCTGAACGTAAAAACGTTGTTCACAAGAATTTCTTTGTACAGTGGTTCTGCAGCTAATAATTGAATTTATTTCAATTGGTTTTATCTTCGTTCTAACATTAGTCGTATAATTTTAGTTTCTAAGTTAATAGGTCAAGTGACTGTGGTCGCTATTGTTAGCGGATAAAGAGAAGTGATGTTAGTTTCTAAGTTAAGGAGCCCTCTGTTGAAGTCAAATCTTCTGTTACTCAGTAACTAAGTAAAAATGTTTGTATTTCAAGAGTTCATAAGTTTTATCATATAGGGGAAATTATGCAAAACAGATGGAATTTCGCATAAAATCGGAAATTAGCACACTGAATGCAAATGTATACATTTATCCAAAGCTTGGTAAATACGGATGAATATCTTTCATAACATAGACTGTTGTCTAAACTGGTGAATCAAAACTTGTTCAACTTTGTGCGTTCATATACGTTGTGGGTTTTTTTTTCTAATTACTATATTTGCATTCCTCCGCTTATGTAAATGTGAACAAGCTAGCCATTCAAGTATGAGATGCTGCCACAGGCAAATTTAACAGCTCAAATTTATTTCACTCCATCTAAGTATTTTTCTGTCCGTGTGTACACTCCAATATGTATACACTGTCTTACCTGTACAGTAACTGACAGAGGGCGATTGAATTAAACAACTGAATATTAACTTTTCTCTGGCTTACAACGCTAGACGGAATTCTCACGTAGTATATGTGTGCACACCAGATTGAATTAAAATATATATATATACATTTCCGAATACAACGTCATACAATATACAATCGTGGAAATTGTTATTTCTAGGTAATCCATCACCGCGAGGATATCAAGTTCCCACAGTTTAGTCAAGTTCGACCGAGACATCAACATACCTTATGGTCAAGTACGGCATGACCACACAAATTGGGTGTTATCAAAACACATATCTTCAAGTGGGCTGGCAATAATTCGGGATGTTTTTTCTAGCATAGTTATAAGAGCATTTTAAACCACATCGCAATGTCAGGGGCATTCATCGTTACAGTCTCACCAATAGTACGACATACTTAACGAATCGACTTAAAATATGCTTAATTATAAGATGACATGTCGGTGCTAGTACACAGTCGATGACTCTTGGTTTAGCTGTAACATACCCATTACTGTTTCTATTCTTGATACACGTACTTATAAATGTTTATATTGGCTGAAACAAAATTTAGCCGCACTTGACAATGTTGATTTTGAAACCTAATCACTTTCGTTTTACGTCAAATATCGAACGTTTCTTTAGATGCTGTAAATCGCTGTCATGATTTTAACAAATACGAATTTTTTCTGCACAGCGCTTATGATTTTATAAGTTTTCTAACTATGTCTAATCAAAATGGCGCCGAAAATGTCCCATGTCGAGTCTTGACTTAGCCTTCTTATACAATTCACATCAATTGCTGCAAAGTATATATTTTTAAGTTGTGCGTGAATCGTCCACTGCTGAGTTCGGGAATATCTTTTCATTTGCATATGGCTATTCGTGTCAATGACGTCACACGCGCTGAAGTTTCTCCCAAGTTCACTAATACTACTAGTATTCTGAAACAACATAGGTGGTCGAATCTCCCATTTATGGTTGATCAAGTTTAGGTCTACAATGTTCATGGACTTCGATTTTGCAAACACAGAATGTTTTGATGAAATACTTTAGACACCAACAAGATTAAGAGTCACCAATCTTTTTTTCGAGTGTCGTGATTTTGCCAATCTTATTACTTTCTTTAAAATGGTCGCAATTTGTGGTGGCGGTGATAATATATTAATGCGATAACCATATTGTGTTCTTCGTGCTCGAGTCTATTTTATTCAAATAGTAAATTAATTATCTGTCAAGAAATTTTCTCATAGTTTTGTATGGAGTTTCCGAAGAGCACCATTCTTGTAATATTATGCTAAGCTCGGCCCTCCTTTATATAGGTGCTTGTTACTTAGGAGGCTACCGAGTTTTGAAAAATAAACTAACTAAACATATATTAAGTATCCTAGTGTGTGTAAGACACACCCTACCTCACCCCGACACAGTGGGAAACATTCTCATTATATTTAGGATGAAGAAAGGACCCTTCTAAGAAATAAAGTTCAACTCGAGATAGCATTTCGAGCCGACAGTCATGATATAACAATAAACCCAATGCCCGACACCGATTTCTAGGAAGTTTGATATACACCGTGTATATCCAAGGGCGCGTGTCTGTCTTGGGGTTCATTTCTTAGTACTGTTATTTTGGCCAGATTGTCACGTGATCTATTGTAGTTTAAAAATACTTTCACATGTTTAAGTCTATTTCGGCCCGGGATGTTTATTTGCTCACACACTTAGAAATTATGATTATACTCGAGTGTTACTGTACACAGGCAACCTGATTGTATTCTTGTATATATACCGCGCATTTCTCCAGCACTCCGAAACGCAGATAGATTCGACCGTTTTAAGCACTGGTGTTTGGACAGTCACGCATAATTTCAATCTCCGATTTCGGCTGGCTCCTTGCACGTTCCGCCTGTTGGCTGTAAAACTCTACAGTGTGTTTACAGTAAAACAGTATATCGAACCGTCAACAAAGAACCTCTCATAAACTTAGAAACATGACACTTTTAAAATGTTTTTTTTTTTTTACTTGTGATTCACTTGCAGGCTGGTGCAGTGTTTCGTGGGCTCAGTTTACCGTTGGGAATACGACTATAGCTGACAGTGTTGTCCAAAAACAAGTGTTTGCTATTAAAGTAACTTTGTATCAGCTATGAGGTCGCGAGAGTCGAGGTAAGACGCGACTAATTCTTTCAGAAAAGTTATCAGTTCTTCTGTGAGTGGATGAATGTGGTTTATTTTTTATGGTGTTTTAACGGTATTTTCAAGTTTAGCCAACTTTAGCCCGCCCTTTTAAAAGAATCCATATTTGTAGAATATTCTGCCGATGTAACGAGGACTCGTATGATTTATTAATATATATATATATATATTGATGTACAATACTTTTTTAAACTTAACCTTTATTTAGTGCTCAGGTCACGTGCAAGTCACGTGAGTATCGTCGACAAAAAATCAACGGAATACATCATCATTATTTTCTACATTTAATAATACACACTACTAACCGGTGGTGATATAAACAGTTGTTATGCTCCTAACCGGAAGTATTTGTTATCGCAATGCAGTTTGGGTACTTTGATATATTTAAGTGCAATATTTAATATTTCCCTTCGGTGTTAATATTTTGTGAAATACCATCGCACACTCCAATTTTCAGTTCTCCTGGTTCGATTAAATTCAGTAATCCCACAAATAATAGTGTCGGTTTTGTCAGATTACTTCTCGGTGGGATTATGTAAATTATATTGATTCACTTCCAGGTTTACAATGGAGTTGTCATTTACGATATGTGTGTCACTGTTACTTTGCTTGCAAGTAAACTCACGTAAGTCTTTATTTTAATATACCAGTTATTTATGTATAAACCGTGGTAACACGCAATCATGTTTAAAGCGCAACAATTGTCACACAGTGCTTTTTGATTCCCGCCTCAAGTGTCATGGCGCAACAAGTGGCGCTATAGTCGTCACGCAGCGCCACAGTCGTCACGCAGCGCCACAGTCGTCACGCAGCGCCACAGTCGTCACGAAGCGCCACAGTCGTCACGCAGCGCCACAGTCGTCACGCAGCGCCACAGTCGTCACGCAGCGCCACAGTCGTCACGCAGCGCCACAGTCGTCACGAAGCGCCATAGTCGTCACGTAGAGCCACATGGGTGGGCTTCCACTTTAAAGAGAAATATCAATTCGAGAAAATAATACGCACGCGTCATATATTTACATGTGCGTACAAATAGTTCGAAACGCATGCGTACTGGAGTTTTCATTATTGCATCAAACGAATACTACAATTTTTGACACACCTCTAAAAAACACTTTTTAACCATAGCACAATTACTATGCCCCGAAAGCTTTCCACAATGTCTTAAGTATAACAACACATGATTTTGTGTGTGTTTTTTTAAATCGTTGTCGATTTATTTTGTGAAACGTAGCTGTGGTTGATTTTCTCACACGCCTCACATCATCCATGCTGAATATACGTACAGGAATTCGAGATCGAATTGCAACGATGTTTGTTTGTTTGTTTACTCGCCACCAGTACTACGCATTGATTACAAGGGGCACTTTGTAAGTCTGGCCGAAGGCGGTCCTGAACTTGAACTTCAATGAATTCTCTCTAAACAAACAGACTCTAGATGCAAATTAATTGCAGCCGGTGGTGTGCAATTGTTCTGTCATATCATCAGGTCACTTGTCGGTTGACTGTCACCGCTGAGGGCGGTTATTACAGAAAGAGCAGTGTCGTGTCTGATCGTGAGCTGGCGCTAAAATACTGCAAGGTTTTGCTCTACAGTGCAATACATTGGAATACATTTTGTTTCTTTCGTTTTTTTGTCTTTGCGCAGCAGCAGCAACAACTGCTATTTTAATGACCTCCGTCGACAAATACGAATAAATAGTAAACAGATAATATTAAGATTGTGTTTACGTTTTTTTTAATTTGATACGTTTTTGTCTTTTACAGAGTTTGACAATGATATTGATAGAATCTGTCCTGATGTTAGGATCGGAAGAGACGATCTCCCAGGTATTTATATATGGTTATAATGGTTCTAGCAATTAAGCTCAGTTTCTTTCAAGTGTAGCTGATCTAAACATATCGCATAGATTCACGGTCAAATTGTTTTTCACGGCTTATATAGCATAGCATTGGACATTACTCAGGCAACATCATATAGATATGCCCATGTGAGGAGATTTCGTCATCGAAAAGTCAAAACACTCAAACACGAAATGCATCGCCATTGAGCAAGGATTATTTTATGGGTGGTTATCTAGCCAATCAAAACTACTGCCGCCAACGACAATGCTTTACCCCAACTGCGCCATTTCTTCGTCGTTGGAGGGCGCACTATACACACTCACTGATATCAAACTGGCCTTCAACTTCTTCAAAGTTTTGTTTTATTCTTTATTTTTTTTTTTTTTTTTCTCTAATGTGTTTGAGTGTGTGCGCGTTTGCAAACGTAACCATTAGTCTTGATAGCTCAACCATACCTCCAGAGGGCGTTGTGATGTTTTCATGTCAGGGGCCAATTTCAAACATACTTATTAATTTCTGTTCCAGAAGGTGAAAGTGATGACCGAGGTGGTAAGGATTCATAGATATTTTCCAACTAAAAAAAAACATACTAATATTAAAATAGAATCCAAATTAATAATCAAAACTAGAGGGCTCGCCATTGTGTTTTACATTGCCGTACTAAAAATTGTGTTATTTTTAATATTGTATGTTTACTGTGTCGTAACGTGCCGGGTACCACTCACATCCAATTGCGTAGTCGCAAACTGAAATACAGATTAGAATTAATTAGGACCAATGCGAAACAGCCACGTCACATTAATAGATCGTAACGCAAGAACGGCATACAGTTTTGCGCATGCTCGGTTGAGTGAGAGTGTTATCCCAGCTGATACGTGTATATTGTCGCCATTAGCACTGCATACGCAATGTAGAAATAGTTAGTTATAATATGCACTATATTCTATATGGGGTTATTGGTACAAGTATGAACGTCATGACTAGCAAAATATGATTGGTTGGAATAGGCCACGTGAGATTGCAATGAATCTTGGGAGATTTATGCAAATGTTTCTACACGTGCATGCGCGTTCCAATATTCCTAATCATATACTTTTACCAACAACGCAGTATCGTTAATGTTCTTAGCTAGATAACAGCGTGCTTCCAGAAACCCAGAATATCGTTTCAGAACAGCCATCATTTTCATATTTACATACTTAATATTCACTCAGCATCAAGAAACTAAAATAGAAGCCTACTCCTCAATGACTACACTGGATTTATCCACTCTACTGAATGGCGCCTGTTTTTCAGTGTGCGTACGCTTTTACCTCAATGCGGAAATATAATGCCATTTCTCAATGATATAAGAAGAGAAAATAAACATATACCAAATCTGACAGAGTATCTGTCGTTATGTTAAATTATTTCAAAAATCTGGATTTTAAAAAGTGATAAAAAAAATGCTATTACGAACTATAAAATTGCTCTATTTTATCATAATACTGTACTGTAACAATCCTGTTTACTGTTACAACGGCTCAATTAGTGTTCATATTAACCAATGAACATTCACTGACATGTGATTCTAAAAAAATATGAGTAGGCTTCTACCGCGAATCAAAATAGGGCAGTCATTATAAACATCGTCTCCCGGTCGACGTAGGGAGTCTTCGTTCTACGCGAGACACCATGAAGTTGTCAACTCGCTGGGTTTCTGGAATACACTCTGACAAAATCTATTTGCACAATCCCAATCCCATTCTTACCTTTCAGCAGTTCTTTTTAAACTAAATAAAATAATTTAAATCTTTGAATAAAATATATCTAAATAAGAATTATATATACAGCGTAAGTAGTAATTGTTATCTTCTTATAACAGGTTTCCATGGTTACGTGTATCTTGTTCATTCAAAGTGTCACTTTTCAAGTATTGGCACAAATCACAAGATTATAATAATGATTATAATAATAACGTAATAATCACCCTTGTAATTTTTTATGGCATCTCTAGTTATTTTATATAAACAAATTAATTTCTCTGATAAGCAAATCGATTACTCTGCTAAATCTCAAGTTTAGAAGCGACCGTGTGCTGTATGTGTCCGCTTGACTTCGGCTTTAAACGGAGTATAACGCCCCCATACTATTTCAGTTGACATTACCTATTGCGTCATTGTAGTGTTCGGTCAACATCTCCGTGTTCGTAAAGTTTGTGCAGGTGACAGTGCCTGAATGTGGATCCTATGTCTTTTCATTTGAGGATTGTGTGAAGTTTTATTCTTCGTTTATTTTCAAAATTTTGACAAGCAGTCTGCGCGAATATGCTTAAATGTTGGATACACTACAAAACAGATTCGTCAAGAAATTGAAATTGGGATCTCTGCGTATGTCCAAGAACATGTTTTAACTATAATATTGTGGCTCAACAAAGTCCACACAATTAAAGCGATCCATTCATTTTGGTTAAGCGCCCTCTGTGTTTGTGTATTACTCTTCTGGAATTCTCACCTCCAATAATTATGTCCCGTCGACTCACGACTATTTCTCGCACACGTTCTAGAAAATGCAGAGCCTAGAGTTACTTACAAATGTTACCTTGCATCGATTTGCTCACTTTTATTTGTCCTAAGATCATTCTCTTCGAACTTTCAACGACAACAAACGAAAAACCCACACAACATGTAACTTAATTTCTTTACACCCGGAAGAAACTAATACTGGTGTCCTGGAACAAACAAATATAAACTTTAGTGGTATATTCCATTTTTATAACTTTTCAAACTTTCGATGATTTCTATAACTTATATCTGTACCTTATATTTTGTTCTAAGGTTTTGATCTGATCAGTAAATTCAATTTGGGTGTGAAGAGTGAAATTGCTGAGGGAGTTAGTCGTGTCGAAGGCTCAACGCCTTTACAGACAGCATTCAAAATGGGGAAATCGTCGCGATTGGTCGTGCCTGCCAGGTTAGTGAGTTTGATAGTGAATTAATGAGTGAAATTTTAAGCATCTGAATTTGTGAGTGTTTGAGTGTCTCGATTGGTGTTTAAATAAATTAATGACAAACATAAATACATGTTTACTCTACCTTATTTATTTCTACAGTACAATATACCCGGCTGGATTGCCAGACGAATATTCGTTTGTCGCTACTTACCGTATGTTAGGCGCTACGGTGTATGATGACTGGTATCTGTGGCAAATTACGGACCGTTCACTTAGAAATCAGGCAGCGGTGCGGTTGAATGGACAAGAACAATTCCTGGAATTCTCTTACGTTGACAGAAACGGTATCGAACAGTCCGTCAAGTTCAGGTAGGGTGACAAAATACATACGTTTACGTCGTCGCCTGCGCATGCGTCAGATGGCGATAGCGTGTCATTGTTTACAAACAAGCGTCTACCCATGAGCCTTTGAGTTTTTTAGCGTGTTTTGTTATCGTCGCTTGGGACTCAATTCCCGCGCGTGCGCAGGTGACGACCCTCCCGCTTTAACAGTCCATCAAGTTCGGATAGGCGTCACAATACATACAACTTACTTTAAAGCGCGGTGGTCGTCGCGCAGCACGTGTTCGAATTTCATGTAAATAAATAATATATTTTACACGCGTTGTATACGTCGCTATGAGTCCCATATCGAACAGGACGCGGCGCGACGACTACCGCCCTTTAACAGAAAGGTGTCGCGTACAGTTTATCAAGTTCAGTTACGGATGACACAATACAAGCGTCTCTTACGTTGGCAGAAACTTTATCGAACAGTCTCAAGTTCAGATGGCGGGCGCGATACATACAATACTAGTATACATATACTTGGTATAAATTATTATACATATACATATTATTATACATATTATTATTATTATTATACATATACTTGGTATAAATTATGCCATATTTATAGATTTACGCAATATGTACATGTTGCATATGTGAAAACATATGTGAAAACAATTAGCATATATGAAAACAATTAGCATACAATTAGCATAAACAATTAAACAATATGTGAAAGCATATGTGAAAACAATTAGCCAACATTTGTAAACTGGCATTTGCATACTGTTCTTTTAAGAATCAAATTGTTTTTACATTTTTTTTTTTGCTTTAAAAATGATTATTTCAGGACCTCATCAGAAATTATAAACGTTTGTGAAACTAACAGATTCGTTTGAGAATATAATACAAAACTATAACACTGTGTACAGCGAGTCTATTAGTGGAATCTGTGGTTGGAAAGTTCAGTGGCCATATCCTTATTTATTTTCTAGATGGTTTCATTTTAATAATCCTATACTATAGATTATAAAGGTGTTTTCTTTTCAGCGTTTTTCAGAACACGTTTTTTTTTATGTGTGTGTTTTTTATTACTTCTAGAAACGTAGACCAACTATTCGATCGTAAATATCACAAGATACTTCTCAGTGTACGAAGAGACCGTGTTTCTTTGTTTATTGACTGCGAGCTGACATCTACAGTTGGCATCGGCGAGAAAGCCCCTGTGGTGGTCAGATCAGACACAGTAACGGCACTCGGGAGGCGATACACTGACGACCAGTCTGTTACGGTAATAGTACCCTGTATATGTATTGTGTCAACTAAGCATCCCTCGAAAATTTATTTATTTATTTTTTATTTTTTTTATTTTATTTTATTTATTTATTTATTTATTTATTTATTTATTTATTTATTTATTGATTTATTTATTTATTTATTTATTTATTTATTTATTTATTTATTTATTTATTTATAGTTTGAGTTACAGTGGATAATACTGCATTGTGACCCTTCCATTGCTGCCAGAGACACCTGTGAAGAACTTCCGGTAAGCGCCCTCTGTGTACTGCAGGAATAATCTGAATTTCTATTTAATACATGTATATAGAAAAAATAACTCTTACAAAGAAATGTGGGTCATAATATATTTTTTGCTGTGTACATTGACTAACTGTTGTTTTTTGTGTGTTTTTTTCCATTTACTCCAGGCTATGACTGACGAATCAGGGGTAATTATAATTTTTTTTATTATTTCACTTTCATACAAAATATAGTTAATTATTTTATTCAAATTATCTACATCACTTGTATCTACATCACATTGTTTTCTCATATTGAAAACAAATTTTGGTAATCCATGTTTGAGAATATATATCAATTCAAATTAGAGAATTTTTAATTTTATCATAAATTTGTTTGTGTGATACATCTCATTATACAAGGAACATTGCTGTGTATTAAATCTATATATGTTCATTCATTTAAATGCACATTTAACCCCAGCCTTCAAAAACCTCAGACTACTATAGATATATATGTTGTAGTCTGAGCTAAAAACATAATACAAGAATTCGCGATTACATAAGCGCTTTAACCAGCGAATAAAAGCGAATAGAAGCGCCCTCTATAGTGAATAATCATGAGTTCACCACAGGCGGCGCTCATCGGCGTTGAGACACCGCCAACTTGAAGGGTTATTGTTTTTATGTTGGGCCAGGATTAGTATTAATAAATATATGGAATTTATGTTTACAGGATTGTCCTATAACATGCCCAGAAGGACCTCCAGGAGCACCAGGAATCAATGTAAGTCTTGCCTCGGTCATTTGTCCTTTGTGGCAAATGCGCTTCCAAACCAGGGTTTCGTCCCGCGTTTCGTTTCTAACGGTCGTTCTGGGTTGTAGTTGTGTAGGTCTTGGTTTCGCTGTAGTTTTTGTTTTTCTCGACGTTATGGTTATTTCAACGGCGGCAAAACCAAAAGCTAAAAACTGCAGCTAGCCCTTGTGCTCGTGAAAATAAAAATAAAAAATTGAATTCCGCAAAGTCGGTTGCAAACGAAAGTCATAAAACCCATGGCTTTAAAATAGCATAACAATTCATAAGACAATTTGTAGATACCATGGAAACGATTAGATTGTCACTTTTAGAATTGGGTATCTCCATGAAAGCGAAGTGCCAGCCCAAGCCAAAATATGCTACATCCCGTCAGAGTGGCAAGTGATGAACTCGTTTTACATTGATTATTCGCTTATATCTTTCACAGGGTCCCCAAGGACTTCCAGGTTCCAATGGCCCACAAGGCCCACAAGGTTTACCAGGAGCGAATGGATTGCCAGGAGTTAGAGGACCACCAGGAGAAAAGGTATGACATCATAATAATCTTTATTGCAGAACTGTACAGCCAGAGGGCAGTGTGTGAACAAATATCAACAAACATTTACATACTAAACCGAATAGTAGTCACAGATATTATTAACTTGAATTTGAAAAAAAAAATATGTGGTAACTCATTCTCTGACTAATCACTTGGGTTGGAATGGAGGCTCTGGGGATGGCTCCGGTTTGGGGTTCTGTTATTTCAAATAATTTTCATGGGGTAAACCAGATTTCAGAATGAAATTAAATTTAATGTCAATAACAATTAATACTTGCACAGTGAAACAATTTACATCCTGTCTCATGGTGTGCTAAGTCTTCAGTTGTCATCCTGGGGCTTTCTAAAAGGTTTTGTAATAGCATTTACAAGGGAACGGGGGTGCAGCGCCCTCATGCCATATCCATGCCCTGGTAAGCAGATCCTCTGGCAACCATAAAATTGTGATTGACCAGGGATCACATGTGGCCAAAGTCTTCAACTGTGATCTGTCTGATAGTAATTTTGGCCCCAAGGAAGCCATAGAATGCTCCATTTTAACTTAGAATTATCAAAAAACTCCACACCCTGGTAGGGGGAACCCTATCTCCCCCACTTGGTGGCACCGCTGAATTGCAGTGCTCCCTCTTGCAGTTTTTTTTCTAGAAAAACCTCTGATTTAACATAACAACATAACATAGCACTGAGGGCTTATAAAATAAGACCAACAAAATATGAATTGATGTGTCAGCACACAACTTGTTTTTCTGTTATTTGTTTGTATTTGAAATTACATTTTTGGTACTTGAGAATTGTTTAAAACAACAACTTCAGTTGTAGTCATATACAAATTAATTTACATTTACATACATTGACATTTACCTTATTGAAAAATTAGTTTCTCTAAGAAATATTAATTTGAAATATTAGCATAATGCTGTCCTGCAAATTTACCAACTAATTGACCATACAATGTATGTTTTTTTTTGTGTCTGTGTCAGGGTTCACAAGGAGCATCTGGTCCCACAGGTCGACAGGTGAGTGCAGTATATGTTACCTGAATGGAGCTGAAATTGTTAGCGATAAACAAGGATTATTCTATCTGTCTAGATTGAATTATCAATATTGTTACATTGAATCTAAATAACAAATAATTGTTCTCAAACAGAAAATACTGCTTATTTTTTATAGTACATATTCTCTAAAATTGACGGTATTTATAGTACGTTGCTTCCTTTATTTACAGGGCATACAAGGCATTCCTGGCAATAGAGGAGAAAGAGGTTTACCCGGTCTTACTGTGAGTATTTTTTTAAATTAATGACTTTCAATTAGTCATATAATCCATTCTTAAGGAAAATTGTACAAAAAAAAATGTGTGTGGTTGCGATAACGAAACCATACCAAAAAATCATTGCCTACCTTAAACTTCTTTTGATCAAACATAAAAAAAAATGGTGGTGCAAAATTACGCAAGATTTTAATGAAACTTGAGTGAATGTCAATGTATTGTAATACAGCATTTGGGCCAAATTAGGAAGACTTTTCTGTAAATATCATTTAGCATGAGTTTTCAGCAAGTAAAAACTAAATGGTGTCCGATGATGGAAAAAAACAAATTTAGAATAAAAACAGATTAAAATCTGACCTACTCTACCTGTTTTTGGAATGCATGTTTTTGGAACTGCCAAATTTACATTCGTCTAGTTTTAGCAGTGCCCATCCTTAAAGGACATCAAGACAAATTCAAATTACTTTGCTGTTTGTAGTAAATAGAGAAAATTAAAATTAAAAAATTATAAAAAATCGCCATTATGATTTCTTGCATACTGTTCTAAATTACCACATTTAATTAATATCCAGAAGGAACTGATAATAAATAATCTCACAAGTTGCGTGAAAGACGCAAAAATCAAACGATACGATTTTGAACTTGAATTTCTTTATTTCGTAGCTCACATTGAATAGCCGATCTTTGACAGGGAAATATTACATTTGAATACCCTTACTTCATCGATACTGACCATCATCAAATGTGTACAGCACATGGAAATATCCCCCAAAATACTTGCGTTTGTCGAACCCCACGCAATGTTTGACACCACTATGATGCTATGACCTTTTTTTGTCTTGTTTTTACATTTGAATTCACACATAACACGAGATCTCGCAGTGAACGGAAAATGGTCTATTGTGCATCTACTGTGCTGGAAATTTATTTAAATTTGATTATATTCATCATTAAAAATATTTAAAATATTTGGATTTTTTTTCACATCTAGATGTGAAAAACAAACAAAATGAACAATGAACTTTCATTGTTTCTCATAAGATTGTATAACTGCACTCACCATTTATTTCTGTATTGTGATAACATGGTGCAGTAATATTGAGATAATGGAACTAATAAATCTGATTTATTGTTTGTTTGCAGGGACGTGATGGAAACCCAGGTGATTCCGGTCCTGCTGGCCCAAAGGTTTGTACACTGGTGGGAATTTATTTGTACATTTTTGTACCAGGTGATGGCATACAAATGTTCATCCCAACAGAAGGGAGCATACAGTTTTAGAAAACTGAGGAGCTCCTTTTTTTCAATCAATACAGAATGTTATAAAATGTACTCAATAATATATATATATATATATATATATATATATATATATATATATATATATATATATATATATATATATATATATATACCTCTTGTAGATTGTAGTTACCAGTAGTAGTTGGTAGTTTGTAGTTACCAGTAGTGGTTGGTAGTTTGTATTTACCAGTAGTGGTTGGTAGTTGCATTTACCAGTAGTGGTTGGTAGTTTGTATTCACCAGTAGTGGTTGGTAGTTTGTGTTTACCAGTAGTATATGGTAGTTTGTATTTACCAGAAGTGGTTGGTTGTTTGTATTTACCAGTAATGGTTGGTAGTTTGCATTTACCAGTAGTGGTTGGTAGTTTGTATTCACCAGTAGTGGTTGGTAGTTTGTATTTACCAGTAGTAGATGGTAGTTTGTATTTACCAGTAGTGGTTGGTAGTTTGTATTTACCAGTAGTGGTTGGTAGTTTGTATTTACCAGTAGTGGTTGGTAGTTTGTATTTACCAGTAATGGTTGGTAGTTTGTATTTACCAGTAGTGGTTGGTAGTTTGTATTTACCAGTAGTGGTTGGTAGTTTGTATTCACCAGTAGTGGTTGGTAGTTTGTATTTACCAGTAATGGTTGGTAGTTTGCATTTAACAGTAGTGGTTTGTAGTTTGTA